GGTTATTAGCCCATAACAAGTAGCTTGCGCCACCCAGGGACCCTCTACATATACGCTGTTGTTGGCACAGTGGTTAAGAGCTCAGCTGCTAACTGAAAGGGCAGCGATTTGAACCCACCAGCTGCTCTGTGGGACAAAGATGTGGCAGTCTGCTTCTGCAAGGATTACAGCCTAGGAAACCCTACGTAGTAACTCTACTCTCCAGTAGGTTCGCAATGAGTCAGAATCGAGTCAACGGCAATGGGTTTGATTTTTTGGTTTGGTTGTTGTGGAATGGCAACCCCATATGTGCAGAGAACTGCTCCACAGGTTTCTCAAAGCTGTCACCTTTTGGAAGCAGATCACCAGGCCCGTCCTCTGAGATGCCTCTGGATGGGTTTGAACAGCCAACCTTTCAGCTAGAGTTGAGCCCTTAACTGTTTGTGCCACGCAGTGATCCTCTACAGATACAGACAAGTCGTAATGGCTGCTCCCTCCTGCTCCCGGCAGCACCTCCTTCTCTCTGCACGGGCACAAGGAGATGCCAACACATAGGCTTCTGGGGCGATTGGTGGGAGGCTTTGGGGAGCCCAGTGCCAGGGAGCCCCAGACCTCTGGCCTCTGCCAGGGCAGCACCCAGAATGTCCCTGCCCTGCTGCCTCTAGGCGCTTCTCCTGTGATACAGGGCTGTGGTTCAGCTCCAGTCATACACAGCCTTGTGGAGGTGCTCGGGTGGTCCCTGGAGCCCACGCCTCCGGAGCTCAGAGAGGGTGAACACTGGGCGGGACGGCCGGGCTGCTCAGCCCACAAGGCGCCACCACAGCTTCTGCCTCCTGCTGCCCTGCTGAGGTCTGTCTTGACCCTTCTCTCTCCCACGTGCCTCCTCAGACCTCGAGGAGAGGGCCTGTGGGATGGTGTCCCTGGAGGCCTCAGCTGCTCAAGACAGGGGAAGGAGCTGGAAGAAGTGCAGAAAGCCCGGCAGGTGTGGCCGCGTGGTAGCTGCTGGGGTCAGAGCAGGGACACAGGGTGGCGTGGGGTGGGCTCCAAGGTGAGGCCGGCAGTGCAGGGGGGTGAGGGGTGGACTATGGGGTCAGACCAGGGGTACAGGGTGGCTGTGGGGGTGGGCTCCGGGGTCA